GTATTACTCAGCCATGCACACACAGGTGAAGTGAATGTTAACATAAAATGTAAAACAATTTCATTAAATTAAACGATGATAGTTTACACACATGTAATACTAACATGCTTGTATTTGGCCATGCACACAGAAATACATAGCCGTGTACATAATATAGTGTCCTAATTCTACATCTAGTCGACCATTCCGAATCCAGTGTTAACAAAAAATGAAAAAGATCATGGTTTATACCACACATAGAGCGTTAAGCAGCCATGCACCCACGAGTGAATATTAACACGCACGGTAAAACAATTTCATTAAATTGAACTATTATAATCGGGGGTGATACGTTGTTCGCCTATAATCAAAAGTGTATTTGTTTAAATATTAGTTGCATTATTCGGCTCCGGCAGCACTGTTAAGTTTGCAAACAATATACCAAACAAATCTGTGAATGCCCCGGTGTTGAACCTATGGTCCGCTGTGTGCATACGAGACTATCAGTGTGTGCACTCCATGCATCAGAATGCTTCAGCCCTACCCCTCGTCTCTCCACTCTTTTTATTTTTGCACATTTGTATTCACAGAATTCACTAACGTCCTCTACATGTATGCCCTCATTCAAATTTTCACGACTTCTATCCCCCAAAAATTAATACAAACGCATCACGCGTTGTTCTCTACACTAAAACGATATACAATAATAGTGTTCAAGTATATGATGTAATTACCTGGGTTTGCATCATCCATGGAGCCTGAGTTGGTTTCGTAATTTCTGTGGTTTCCATCGTCCATCGCGTCTGGTCCAAAGTCCATGGTTGCACGTTTGAGCGCTTGTTCTCAATCGTGAAAGGAAATGTGTTGCTGGTGGTGTATTCAAATCCTTCCACTATTAAACTTCCTTAATTATAACAGATTATACAAATACAATTCGTTCCATATTTAAATTCTTGGGTGCATTCACAGTGTTGCCCTTGCTTTTAGTAATTAGCAATCCGTGTCTCACAACTAAGAGTCCATCTAATCCATTCATCTTTTTACATGGTTAGATTTTGTCCGCACATTTGTATTTTAAGGGGGTTTGCATGTGAATGCAACCATCTATATATATATATATATATATATATATATATATATATATATATATATATATATATATATATATATATCACTTTATTATCCTCACATAGGGCCTCAATACCAAGTGGTCTTATGAAAACATTTTATTGGTATATCGCATAAATTTATAAATAAAAATAAAAACAAACTAGAGGTGAACCCTCGTTTTTAGCCAGTCTTAGTATATATAGATTTTTTTATTTTGTATTTTTTAAATCTGGATCTTGGCTTCTATCACCAAGTGTGAATTCACCGAGCTTGGTTTCAGCGGGTGCAATTACTTAGAATTCCACGAGCAATGAAGCTTTGAAAGCTAAAAGTCATAACTTCATTTCAGGTTGAATGATTTTTTTAGTTTGGAATTGTCAGGGTGCGGCCTCGAAATCGTTTAGGTGCACCCTTAAACATTTCCTGCGTTTGCATAATCCTTCGTTTGTTTGTTTGCTTGAACCAAAGGTGTCGGGCATTCAAGCTAATGAAATTTGTTCTTGTCTTGGTTTTGATGAATGGGTTAGGGTAGAAACTGTAGGATTTTCGGGTGGAATTTGGATTTTATGGAAGGAGTCGCTGAATATTGAGATTCTATACACCCATGCTCAATTTATTTCTTTTCAGGTTTTTGAGAATGGTGTTGAACCATGGCTAATGACCGTGGTGTATGGCAGTCCTGACCAGAGTTTGAGAAGACGGTTGTTCTCGGAGCTCTCTGGACAGTTTTTCGAACCACAAGGACCATGGGTAGCAGTGGGTGACTTTAACTCTGTAATATGTCAGCTGGAAGAAGTAAGCAATGCAGGGACTTTCTCTCTATCATGATGCTCTGAGTTCAATGAGTGGATTTTGAGGGATAACATTCATTCACTCACAAATTGATGGATCACATTAATTTCAAAATGAAAAATAATAATAAGGTATTTGATTCATGGAGTAGGCGTTGAACTGAATCTAATACGCAACATTCTAAAAAATAAGCATATTTTATTATTCAATAAGTCATTTTATTCTTGATAATAGTATTATCGAGAATTAGATACTCCCCTTACAAGGGAATAACTATTTGGAAGGGAGGTTTGGTATTAGACTATTCATTAATTTTCAGGAATAACATAGTTTTGTTAATAAATTATTTGCTCTTACATATTTTTGTTATATATTATAAATATATATACAGTAATTGAGTGTATCATTTAGTATGGAGGGTATTTATTTCTTTTGAGTGCATATTTTATTTCTTTTATTCAAACAAACCAAGTATTAAAAAAGAAAGTATTCAAATATGCCCTCCAACTTTATACGAGAAGATAATTAGATCTTTGGGAGAAGATAATTAGACCTTTAAACTTTTGAAAGCTGTAATTAAGCTCATGAGCATGTTATTTTTGTGCATTGAAGTCCCAAAACGGGTTAATAACCTATAATAACAAGTCACTAGAATTCCGGCAGGACTCCAACAACACTCCGGCTACTAGCGATAGTCGTGGGCTACCTTTGAAGAAGGCGGCCCAGATGATCACCTTTTGCAGGAGAAGGTGATCACTAGGTGGATGGCCTTCTACTGGAGTAGGCGACCGGTTGTCTCTTTCTCTGTTGAGGAAGCAACCCAATCCAGTCGAGCAGTGGTTGACTTTTTGAGACGGTCAATGGTAGCCGATGACGGTCAATGATAGCCAACCACAGTCAACGAAGACTTACAAACCGGTAACTAACTAAATTAGACTTATTTTACTAATTTTAATAAGTTATAGTGTTTAATTTTAACTTTCAAAAGTTTAGGGGCCTAATTTTCTTCTTGTTTAAAGCTGGAGGACTTATTTGACCATTTTCCCAATATTAAAATTCAATTCCTAAAGTATATATAATATTCTTTTCGTGAACTAAACAATAAAATAGAAATCCTTTTTAGTTATCATCTATTCCCAAAATGAAATGTTTATTCATTTTGGGATTTGATTTTCACTACCATGCGTGCGAGAGAGAACCTCTATGCTATACAATTCAAACTTCTTCGAGAATGTATTGTATATATATAGTGGTGAACTTACTTCCCAAACCAATGTGAGACAAGTGTTTCTTTCAAGCCTTTCCACCTTCATTTTTCAACTCAAATGAGTCTATTTTGAGGAATCAATTTCTCATTCACCCATTATCCATTTTGAGCGTACAATATATCGATCTCTTCGTCTCACCAAGAAGAATCATGAATCCACTTTGACTCAATCCAAATCATAAGTGGACCCATATATTTGTACCACCAAATAGTACTTAATATACTACGTTTTCCAACACTTCCAAATCATTCAACAAAACCACAATACCAACTCACAAAATGCACATAAAAACCACGAGAATTCGCACTTATCAAGGGAAATCCAATAAAATTGGGTGAATACTTTTGTAGTTTAATTTAGATATATAATTAAATGATTAAAACCTTAGGTAAAAATAAAAAAGAAATACATTTTAGTCAATCTCTTAATTAATTTTTTTAGGATAATCTATTAATTTCTAACTAAATAAATATAGTTCCGCATTTTAAAAATTATATTGAAAATTTGGCCCCCACCTAAGAAAATCGACCAACAAATTAGAAACTAAACCATTCACTCACAAATTGATGGATCACATTTCAAAATGAAAAATAATAATAAGATATTTGATTCATGGAATAGGCGTTGAATCTAATAATGTAACATTCTAAAATAAGCATATTTTATTGTTCTATATCATTTTGTTTTTGATAATAGTACGTATTATCGAGAATTAGCTACTCCCTATACAGGGAATCGGAATAACTATTTGGAAAGGGGGGAGGTTCAGTATTAGACTATTCATTAGTTTTCAGAAATAACATATTTTTGTTAATAAATTATTTGCTCTAACTTATTTTTGTTATATATTATAAATATATACATTAATTTTGTGTATCATTTAGTATGGAGGGTATTTATTTCTTTCGAGTGCTTATTTTATTTCTTTTCTTCAAACAAACCAAGTATTAAAAGGAAAATGGTCAAATATGTCCTCCAACTTTACACGAGAAGGTAATTACCTTAAACTTTTGAAAGTTGTAATTAATAAGCTCATGAACATGTTATTTTTGCGCATTGAAGTCTCAGAACGGGTTAATGACGTATAATAACAAGTCACTAGGATTCCGGTAGGACTTCAACAACACTCCGGGTACAAGCGATGGTCTCAGGTTGCCTTTGAAGAAGGCGACCCATATGGTCACCTTTTGCAGGAGAAGGTGACCACTAGGTGGATGGCCTTCTACTGGAGTATGTAGGCGGCCGGTTGTCTCCTTCTCTATTGAGGAGGCGACCCAATCCGGTCGAGCAGTGGTCGACTTTATGAGACGGTGAATGATAGCTGACGCCGATCATATCATTGACAGTCAACGAAGACTTGCGAGTTGCGAACCAGTAACTAACTAAATTAGATTTATTTTAACAATTTTAATAAGTTATAGTGTTTAATTGCAACTTTCAAAAGTTCAAGGGCCTAATTTTCTTCTTGTTTAAAGCTGGAGGACTTATTTGACCATTTTCCCAATATTAAAATACAATTCATAAAGTATTTATATTCTCTTTGGGAACTAAACAAAAAATAGAAATCCCAGTCCTTTTTAGTTCACATCCATTCCTTATTTTCCTCAAAAATTATGTATTCTACGAACAAAATATGCTATAAAGGTTTTAAAAGTAAAAAAGTTAGGGATGAAAAAGTAATAGTCCAAAGAAGAATGTACCTAGGAAGAAACATATGATAGTTAATTAGCATCCAATCATATATGAACCCCACATTCCCCCTTAAAAATGTGTGAAGAAGCTTTTGGTGTAGTTTGTTCACCGATCATTTTCCCCCATATAACTAGACTAGACGTTAGCATAAAGAGATAAAAGGGCGTTTAAAGGGCGAAGAGAAAAAGGAGGGGACAAACAACAAAAGTTTGTAGCTATTGTTGTTATACGTCCCCTCTTTTCACCAATCATCACTCTCTTCAGATCCCAAACTAGGACTTATTCTTGTATCATATCTTTGATTCAATTCCTTCCTTAATGTTTTCTTGGTTCTTTGGGATGCTTTAACCTTCCAAAAGAGCCATACATTGCATCCAAAAGAATCTAGCAAAAGAGGAAGGGATTGAAGCTAAGGTTGATATATATATATATATATATATATATAAAAGATCAGATCAGATCAGGTAGAGAAAGAAAATTGAATAATTCAATTCAATAATAATAATAATAATCTGATCGAAGATGGGAGCTTGTGTCTCGCTACATTCGGCGCTGACAATGAAAAGACCGAGGAACCGGCGGCCCATCGATCCGGAAAACGTGAGAGGGGGCGGCAGCCGGACTCGGGCGCCTCGATCGCAGAAGATTTCTCGGCAGATCAGGGTGCTGAACGAGAGCCATAATGCGACGGGGGACGGGATTTCGAAGAAGTACGAGTTCGGGAAGGAGCTGGGGAGGGGGGAGTTCGGGGTGACGTACCTGTGCACGGAGAAGGAGACGGGGGAGAGCGTGGCGTGCAAGAAGATATCGAAGAGCAAGCTGAGGACGGAGATTGACGTGGAGGATGTGAGGAGGGAGGTGGAGATCATGCGCCATTTGCCCAAACACCCCAACATTGTGAGCTACAAGGAGGTGTATGAAGATAAGGAGGCTGTGTATCTTGTGATGGAGCTCTGCGAGGGCGGCGAGCTCTTCGATAGGATCGTCGCTAAAGGCCATTACACTGAAAGAGCGGCCGCTCTTGTCACCAAGACCATTCTTGAGGTTATCCAGGTACGTTCCATTTCCATTCCCATCAAAATTATATTCTTCTCTCAAAAGGTCAAGGGGTGTTTGGTAAATAGATGTTGCTGGGTTTGATAGGCTTATAACATTAGTTGGTTATAAATTAACTGTTAATTGATAACAGATTACATGCAAAATGACTTGGCTATAATTTATTATTATTGTTTTTTTTTTTTTAATTTTAACGTTGTGAAGCAATAAACTATTACAAAAAGTTGATTAATCAAACACCAATTGAATCTCCAACCCTAATGCCCGCCGCCTCACAAAGCATGTGAGAGGATGTAAATCACCCTATCTCAATGACTACAGGGCCAAATGTAGGTGCGTACAAAAAATCTATCCACTTTAGTCCTTTCAAATACTGCCTACTGAACCAGTGAGCTAAGCATATGGCAATCAAAATTATACTCTATCTCAGGGTATCCCCAATCAAGATGACTAACAATGCAAACTTGTAACCACAAGGTCATGTGTTTGAATTCTAACCCTATTGGTTTGGTTTGAGCCGGTCAGCTATGGGAAACCCTGGTTTATCAGTGACGGTGGGTTTGTCAAGTGACCCAAAAAATTATATTCTCTCTCAAATTCAAATTGAAGGATGTACATGTTATTTTTCAACCGATGATCTTTTTGTTTTTCATTGTGTGCTTCAATTAAGGTATGCCATAAACATGGAGTGATTCACAGAGACCTTAAACCGGAGAACTTTTTATATGCAAATGGTAATGAAAATGCGCCCTTGAAAGCTATAGATTTCGGTCTCTCCATCTTCTTCAAACCCGGTGAGTGAGCAGTACAATTCAATGAGCTGAGCTTCATTCTACTAAAATTAAAATTATATTATTATAATTTGATACGATAACAATATTATTATTCATCACAAATTATATGCATATGAAATGGTTAGGCCAACGCTTCAAAGAAATTGTTGGGAGCCCATACTACATGGCTCCAGAAGTTCTTCGTCGTGATTATGGGCATGAAGTTGATGTATGGAGTGCTGGTGTTATTCTTTATATCTTGCTATGCGGTGTTCCCCCTTTCTGGGCAGGTATATATATATTTATAAATTTATTACTTTTTTTTTTTCCAAAAAATTTCACTTTAATTTGGTTTATTAACACATGCATTTATGCATGCAGAAACTGAAGAAGGAATAGCGCATGCAATAGTGCGAGGAGATATAGATTTCAAGAGGGATCCTTGGCCAAAGATCTCAGAAGATGCAAAGGATCTTGTCAAAGGAATGCTTGACGCAAATCCTTATAGTCGAATGACTATTGAAGAAGTTCTTGGTATGTATATATAGTAGCTTCTTCTCATCTCTACAAATTAAACAAAAAAAAAAAAAGTCACTGGAAATTATGGAATTTCCGACCACCTAAAAGTGATCTTATATCAATTCGAAAGTAAAAAGTGGTCGGAAATAGCAACAAATGTTTTTCCGGATACCAAAAGTGGTCGGAACAAGACTTTCGACTTGATTTAAGATCACTTTCAGGTGGTCGAAAATTCCATAATTTCTAGAATTGAAAGAGTGACATTTTACCTTTTACTACATTGAAAGTGTGTTTTCCTCAGCTAATTAATTGTTTTCTTGTACGTGCGTTAACAAAATTAAAGCACATAAATGGATTCAAAATGCTGAGACAGTACCAAATGTTCCTTTGGGAGAAGGCGTTACCACAAGGATTAAGCAGTTCACTTTGATGAATAAATTCAAGAAAAGGGTTCTCATGGTAAGGCCGGATAAACAAATTAAAGTACGTAGCCTAGCATTTTATATTATTAATGCATAATCTAAAATGGTAGATATGATATTGCAGGTGGTAGCAGAAAATTTGTCACAAGATCAAGTGGAAAGCATCAAAGAAATGTTTCACATGATGGACACAGACAAAAATGGAAACTTGTCCTTCGAAGAGCTCAAAGATGGGTTGAGTATGATGGGGCAACCTGTTGCAGATCATGACGTGCAGCTGTTAATGGATGCCGTAAGTGTTATATATATTAAATGTAATCAACTATCAACTAACCATTTCTATACAACCTGTTAATGCTATCGGATGTTCAAACTAGCTAACCTAATAAGCTAACAACTATCAGCCAAGTTAATCAGCTATCAGTAAAGGGTAACCTTAGCCAAAATGGCAAGAGATGCACGCTTGTAACCACATGGTCACGAGTTCCTTACCCCGATCAGCTATGAGTAACTTAAACTGGTTTACTTTCTTGTAGTCCTTTGCCGGCTAAGGTCACAAGGAAAGATTTGCTCATACTCTAAAGGATTATGGGATTTTCCTCATCATCCAAAAAAAATCAGCTAACAGTTATTTGCTCAAATCAGCTAACCTAACAACTATCAACCAAGTTAATCAGCTATCAGGGTAACGTAACCCTAGCCAAGATGACAAGAGATCCACGCTTGTAACCACAAGCTAATGTCACGAGTTCCTTGCCCCGACCCATTGGTTTGAGCCGGTCAATTATGGGTATCCTAGGCTGGTTACTTTCTTGTAATCTTTTGCCGGCTAGGGTCATGGGTATCCTAGGCTGGTTACTTTCTTGTAACCCTTTGCCGGCTAGGGTCATATAAAACGAGGTTTACTCACACTCGAAAGGATTATAGAGTTTCCCTCATCATCATCCAAAGAATCAGCTAACAGTTATTTGTCAATCATCCATCGTTACGTTGATGATTTAACTAATTTGTTGGTTATATATGTATGAATATATAGGCGGATGTAGATGGGAATGGAATGCTGAACTGCGAAGAGTTCATTACATTAGCAGTACACTTGACGAATTTGAGCAACGACGATAATCTCCACAAGGCGTTCCTCATCTTTGACAAGGACAATAGTGGATACATTGAATTTGAAGAGCTGAGAGATTATCTGTTGGAGATAGATGATGATAATAAAAACGACCAAGTGGTGCAAGAGATTATATTCGATGCGGATTTGGACAAGGATGGAAGAATAAGCTTTCCAGAGTTCAAAGCAATGATGACCACCGGCACCGACTGGAAGATGGCTTCCCGGAAATACTCTAAAGTCATGTTGAACGCACTTAGCGTCAGGCTTTTCAAAGACAAGTCCGTCCAAATCAAAAAGTAATTAATTCATATATATATATATATATATATAATGCTTCATTCATGCCTAGCTCCTCACTGCTAGATACATACGTGCTGCATGCGCAGGAATATAATTTAATTAGGATATATATCTATATATGAAATTGAGAGCAAAGTGTTTGATCCTGCTTTCACACAGATCTAACAAAAAATATGTATATTGTTTGCTTTGTATACATACCATTTATAAAATGATGACAATTTTGAGGATGAGCACCACAATTAACTAACAACAATTTATGTTATTCTAAATTATTCATCTTATCTTTGTATTACTCAAATTAAATACTTCACAATTTAGTGAGGTAATTATTTGTATATTATTATTATTATTATTATTATTATTATTACGGATCTCAAAAACTAGAATCAGACTGAGTGCTTGTAGCTTTGGCTAAGGTATGAGTTATCAGGTTCACTGATCGATTTAATTTCCTAATAAAATAACAATAATAATTAAAAAAGATACATGATATCATAACAAAGGCTAACTATTTTACCAGTGTGGGAAAGATCCTTAGTTTCTACCAGGCTTGCCAATGAATTCCAGTTCCATAGGAAAATACTCATAGTATAAGTAGGGAGTGGCTGTGGAACTTCTTTCCATGCTCTTGAGAGGAACTTTTTATTCCATCCATCAATTCTGTTCCTAAGATTGTCTTTTATGAATCTGAAAACTTGTCCTTTTTGCCTACCAATAATAGACAGGACTCCTAGGTACTTGCCAAAATCCCTAGTCTGATTCACAGCCATGAGGCGAGCCAGGGAATTTTTTTTACCTCAATTGGAGTGTTGCTACTAAAGGAGATCCCCAACTTATGGAAATTAATGGCCTGTCCGGAGCAATTTTCATATATCATATCGTGAGATAGTGTTTGATTTCCTTGGCTTCACCCTAATTAGCTTTGAAGAAGAGAAGGTTGTCATCGGCCAAAAATAAGTGGGTGAGGGTTGGGGCACCTCTCACTAGGTACTAGTAATTCTGCATATGTAAAAGCATAGAAAGACCCTAGCACATATGATAAATAAATAAGGAGATAATGGATCACCTTGTCTCAAACCCCGAGATGGAAGAATCTGATTTGTCCCATTTACATACACTTTGTAACTTAATGTGCTTACATAGGTTAAATTAGGACCAGGTTGATCCATTGCTGCGAGAAGCCTAAGAGAGTCATCATTTGTGGTAGAAAATTCCATTCCATACGATCATATGCAGACAACCCTGAGGTACAAGGCGGCACCGATGCTGCGATCTGGACGAGCATTTGGTCATAGATGAGCTCCTGCAGGCCGATGATGGTGAAGACGTCGCTAAGGCCGGTGAGGATGTATTGCGGCTAGCCACCAGATCGTCATTGGGATAGTCGCCGTCGGAGAGTCCGGGAGGCTGTTCTCCACCGCGACGCGGAGGCGCTTGGTTTCCATTGGATACCTCACCCCCAGATTATACACTGATCTTTCTCGAGCTTCTAACATCGTCGTAGATCGCGACACCGATGAAGGTGTAGACGGGGTTCGCAAGGAAGCTGACAAGCTTGTCTGGGATGCGGCTGCAGTGGAGGAGTTGGAAGATGAGGCAACAACGCACCACGCAGGGTTGGAGAGTTGCCGCCGGGTTCTGCACTTTGGAGTAACTGGGCCACCACTCTGCTTCGAGGCCGACGATGAGGTGGTTCATACGGTGGCAATGGATGGCCTCTACCTCGGAGATCCAGTCAACGACCTTTCAGCCTTCATGGGTGATCAAGGTTCTGATACACTCTCCTTGGAACTTAACGTTAAAAAGATCGGGGGTTCGCGTCCACTAACATAGTCAACAATGACAGAAAAAAGTTAAAAAGACGGTAGGTTAATAAACGGTAAACTTAACAAAGGACTAAAAGTAACACGATTAGAAAAAGAGTGACCGTAATGTAACAAAATTCAGAGTTAATTATCAAAATGATCTCTTAACTATAGCGAAATTATCAATTTGATCATTAACTATTTTTTTTTAACCAATTAAGTCCCTCAATTTTAAAAATTTTAACCAATTTGATCCTCCGTTTGTTTGATCATTAGTCAACCGTTAACTTGTGACCAAATTGATAATTTCGCTATAGTCAAGGGACCATTTCAGTAATTAACTTCAAAATTAATTATGATAGACTAAAATTAGACACGCCCCAAATAACAGGAGTACAAAAAAAAAAGGAATTAACTAAATATAAAATTATAGATTTTTTAGGACAAAATAAAATTCTCTCTGGTAGTCTCTAGTCTCTACAATAGGACGACAAAATATTATAGATGTTTGAGCTGTTGGTGGGTCTGCCCTTACCAACCCGCTTCCTTCATTCCAAATCATGTATGTCTCTTCGCCCTTCAACTTCTAGCATTTTCGATCTCCAAATATTTTCATGATACAGACTTTCCCTCTAGGACACAAAATCTCTTTATATGTTTATAGAAATAATATTTAAAAAAATTAGCTAGTATAAATTGATATTTGAAGTAGTTGTTTTGAGGATTTGAGTAATTTTACTTTCAATTTAGGTTGGGGTTAAAGTGGGTTATGATTCTCCTAGTTGATATGATAAATTTGATATATTATACACTCAAAATGAATATTGTGTATGAAAAAATTGATTTTCAAAGTGCACTCATTGAAGTGAAAGTTAGAAAAATAGAGTTTAGGAAGGTTGTCAAGAATTTTGTAGTCTAGTGGCACTAAGTTACTCTCTCATATAAGAGGTTGTGGATTCGAACCTCAGTAGAGGCAATATTGACTCTTTGTGCTTCACTACGTTGAGAAAATAGTAAAAAAAATAAATAAAATTGAATTTATGAAGGCTTGCCCTTGTATGTCACATATTGAAAACACATGTGGTTTGTACTAGTATAAAAAAAAAAATTAAACTTTTTAACGAGTTTGAATTATGTAGTATAGATATTCTCTCTTACACATCGGGGTCACGGGGTGCAAATTAAATTTCAAAATGAACTTCTAAGCTTGAAGTTGTGTGCACCCACGAGCCAAGTGCGCTCAGGTTCCTTATAAATACCTTATGTGGGCAGATCGAAGTGTCATGTGTGTGTTACAACAACTTCAGATAAGCATTTGGGTGTTTATGAGTCTAACTGACGGAAATTTGGAGCGGTGAGATCTTCATGATTGGGATGCAATTATTAAAATGAAATAGAAATGATATTTTTTGAAAAAAAAAATACTTAGCTTGCTCTAATTTTTTTCAATAATTTTATAATAAGTATTCCCTCCCTCCGGTGCGGCGAGACCCTCCCGTGCGGTCATGCGGCGATTTTCAGAATACATCATTAGTGACAGGGAGGGTCTCGCCACATTTGAACTTATATATATATATATATATATGAGAACCACTCCCCAAGTCAGAACTTGTGAACAAATCCAAACCATTAATATGCAATATCTGATGGATGAAAAATTAAATAAAAAATAATTGGGTCATTTTCATAAATATTATAAAGTTTTATTTATTTTCAACGATTTAATCTATTAGATCAATAGTTTGGATTGCCCCAGGTTCTCACCTGGGGCATGGTTCTCCAAATAATTTGCAAATACCACTTTAAATGTAAACAAAGTTAAAATGACTATGCCAATGACTTTGTGGTCTTGTGATATAAAGTGACTATCTTAAATGAGAGATCATGGGTTTGAGCTCTAGGTTGAGAAAGTAGCTATGAACAGGTATATCACTTCAAAATAAATAATTGAGCGGGTGAAACATGATTTTTGTATTTGAAGGTTAGGTTTGTCACATAACTTTTCTAGTGCAGAAATCCCGATAAAAAAATATGTTTTTAGTTGTTAAATTATACAACTATAGTATTTTTAGTTTCTATTTTGTAACTGTCGTTGGATATATTCTTAATTCATCCAAAAAAAAAAAAAAAAAAAAGCAGCAAGCTTTATCACCCATAACAAAATCGTAAATGTTCATTACTATAAAAAAAGAGTTACTCAACATTTTGGCCCCTCAATCGTTTTCCAATTGTTAATGTAGTCCTTAATTTTCAATTTCAATCCATTTAATTATTGAATTGTTTAAAATTTTGTTAATTAAACTCTTTCAAGAACTAAATTGAAGAAATTTAAAAAATGTGAAAATTACCATTTTGGTACCTAAAAGGGTTTAATAGATGAAATTTTAAACAATTCGATGATTAAATTGGTTGAAATTGAAAATTAGAAACTACATTGACAGTTGGAAAACAATTGAAGGACCAAAATGTTGATTACCCCATAAAAAAAAAATCAAAATGTGATTTTTACTAAAAGTATTTGTTATTCAGAAATGAAATATGAGCTAAATTGTAACAAGGTTACAGTGTCATGGAAATAAAAATTAAGTTTAATTTGCAATAAATGATAAACATTGCTTAAAGAGTGAATTTCATTTTTGGTCCTACTGTTATTAGGGTCATTTCAATTTTAGTCCACCATAATTTTTTTTGCCACATTGCACCCACTGTTAATGAAACCCTTCCAATTTTAGTCCACATTAGACTTTCCGTCATCTGACCGTGATTTCAAGGGTTATTTCTGTCTTTGTCTTTAGTTTGTCTTGTCCTCGACTAAGGAAATCAGGAAATCAAACCTAAAACCTAATACCCAACCAAACAAAATCGAAGCAATGACGCAAATTTTGGCTTCTGAGCAGACCAAATTAGTTTGTTTATGGTGTGTTGTTGTTGGTGGAGTAGGGCGAATCTCCGATTGGCTCTGCGTTAGAACATCACACAACGTTAGAGAGGAACTCTGGCGAAGTAATAGAACCGCTACCGCCGCCGCCTTGGTCCACCCCTCTACGCCGCAAAACCAGTGGCAACGCGAAAGACGGCACTGGAGAAGAGTTCGTCGACCTGCTCTGCTTCGCCGGAAAGAGGAGAACATGGATTGCTGCCGTCACGACTGCTTTGTCGAAGGGGTCGCTGCCTCTGTACACGTCGACAACCAACTTTGACTCGTCCACAATCACCAAGGAAATAGCTTGCTCGTGGGTCATCTTGGAAGTTGGTATCCCCACAATATTCTTCAGTTTCCCTTGCCACAGCAGTTCCCCAATCCGCGTGCTTGGCGGTGGAGCCGGTGCCTAGACTACCACCATGCCAGACTTCACATACTCACGACCTTGTAACAAGTTTCTTCAGGCGGCAAGTTTCTTTAGCTCATCTTGAGTGAGAATCACAGGAGAGCAAGAAGAAGACGAGGATAGA